ATCTATTTCTGATTTTGGAACATACTTGAATGGAAATAAAAATAGCTTTTAAGTTAGCTGTTTTTTGAGTTGCTTAGTCTAAGTCTTTGGGATAAAAAATCCAGATTTTTTTCTTTTTTTGTTTGTTTTTAAAGAAAATCATAGAATTATAGAGTTGTAGAATGTCTTGGGTTGAAACGAACCATAATGATCATGTAATTTCAATCCCCCTGCTATGTGCAGGGTGGCCAACTACTAGAACAAGCTGCCCAGAGCCACATCCAGCTTGGCCTTGAATGCCTCCAGGGATGGAGCATCCTCAACCTCCTTGGGCAACCTGCTCCAATTTCACCACCCTCTGTGTGAAGAACTTCCTCCTATTATTTAACCTAAACCTCCCTGTCTCAGTTTAAAACCATTCCCCCTTGTCCTAACACTATCCACCCTTAAACCATTGTACTCTCTTCTGTTTATGCGCTCCCTTCTAATACTGGAAGGCCAAAAGTCTTTCCCTGCAGGACTGCTCTCAGTTTGTATAAATACCTGGGATTGACCTCGCCGAAGTGCCAATCATTAATTTTCAGTTAATTTTTTTGAGCATGAATCTTGGAAAACAATTTCCTGTAAAAGACTCCCTAGTGATAAGATTTCATGAATTGTTCTCATTCCCCGAATCAGAAACACGATGTGGGCTTTGAACAGGACAACAAAGTGCTGTTAATGATTAAAGCCTGTCCCAACAAGTTTCTGAGCTTCTCTGACAACAGAAACAAGCAAATGGTTTTTCACAGAAAGAAAAATTAGGGGATGCAGTGTATTTTGGCAGCAAGAGTCAAAGACTCCTTACTTCACCATACCTACTAATACCCAAGGCAATGTGGTTGATTTTATATAAACACAGGTTCTGTCCCAAGCAGATTGATGATAGCAGGTTTCTGCTTACCGCCTTCATGACTTCAAAACTTCATGGGAACCCTCAGTGTTTGAGCATGATTCTTTTGGTGCTGCCTTTGTTATGTGCTTCCCACACACTGCAGCCAGCAGCCCTTAAATTTATATTTTTTTGTGTAAAACCCACACACTCTTATTGTCATCAAGAAAAATGCACACATCAGGCACTTACATGTTCTGGTTCATGCAACTAGGAAATGACCAGAATCAGACGGTATTATGGCTATTAGCAGCAGCAGCAGTAATGCTTCTCGTTGCATCAGATTCTTTTTTTTTTTCCTTTCCTTGACATGCATAGCCAATACAGATGTTTGAATGTATAAAAATATCAAATTAGTTAATCTATCAATTGCCATTAGTTGCGTTCAGGAACATAGTTAGCATTCCTTAACATTGAACATATTTGTTGCTTCTCATAGTTGAGCCAAGAGTACAAAACTTATATAAGGTATCTGAAGCAGTCCTCAAATCAACATAGAATGTAAAAGAGACATTTTTTATTAGTAATAGCTGATAATAGCTGCAGGAACTTTGCTGATTCTATAGGAATGGATTTCCAAAGAAATTGCAAATTTAAAGTCATAAATTTTGTGCTTAGTCACTTATACTTGAATGTACAAACTTATCAACCTCTTGCCTTGTCACCACATCTGAAAGTATAGCCATATAACTTATTGAGTCCTTGTCTGGTTCTGTACTAACCAACTCTGACCTACCTACGTGAATTAAATAAGCAAATATACAGGCTCATCAACCTGTCTAGTACAAAGTGAAGTGGTGGTCACTGTCTGCTGTGTTTTCTCTCTTGATTACATCTAGTAAATTCAGTGTGAACTAAGAGCATCCAATAATTGGTACATTCTTCCTGCAACTTGGTTCACTGTCATATCACATGTTTTTTGACAAATGAGAGCAGGTATACCAAATCAAAGAAGAAATTAGCCCTAGTTCTTCTTGATAGCCTGTGTCACAGGCTCCTCTGCAGCTTTCTGCAACAAGAAGATACCTTAAGCTGATTTGTTCTCCAAGGAGAGAAGCAGCATAACCAGAATCCCATTATTCTGTCTGTGTAACATCTTGAACATTTTGTCATTAACTTTTTACCTTCCCCTATAAATAAGAATGTCAGAACTAGCCAATAAAAATGATAATTTGGAGAGGCTTGGGACAGTAAGATCAGACACGGTGTTATTACTTTGAAGTTCATCTAGATGAATTATGACCTAATCTAGATAAGTTTCATAGCAGAAAAGTGATTAGCAAATTCATTATCTATAGCTTTTCCAGCTGTATGTTCAAAGCTACCAGGAAATATGCACAAAAGTCTTTCAAAATCTCCCCAGTATTTTTCTCTTGTTGATTTCATTTTCTTGGCATCTCATCAAGTGTGACTCAGTCTTTTCTCTTTTGGAGTAAAAAAAATATCACTGATGGGGATGCTTGAGCTACCTTCTACCTGCGATTCAGGTTGGAAATAATAGAGTATGTGTACAGAGCATTAGCAACTTGGTTAATTTTGTTAGTGCAAGCCTTCCCTCAGTCACATCTCCCCAAGACAGAATTTTTCCCAAGAATGCTGACATGTTCAGCAAAATTTTTGATCTTTGTGGACTGAGTATGTGATGCTGGAGTCCCAAATCAGAAATTTTCAGCTTTTTGATAAGTACATTTTTTTTAAACTTTGTCCACATTAACACTTGCCCTGCACTGTATGGTGATGCTATTCAATCCTTCAGTGTGAGCCAGAATTAAAGGCATATCTCTCCTCGTTCTCCATGTCCCCCACTCTTTGGTTCCCTTTTAACATTGTTTTGGGCTCACTGTATACTAAGGGGAAAATATAGCAGGACAGGTGTGACGCTTTAGTAGGAAAAACACTCAGATTTTCAAATCCCCTTTCTTAGAAAAAAGGTGCTTTCTGACTTATGAGTGATCTTCATTATGACTGGTGGTCCATACTGAATGATAGCCCATGAAAATAGATTGTTGTCATTAGTAATTCTGGACTGTAGTTCAATGGCAGAGAAAGGTCTTGGAAACTACCATCTTACTGAGTCATAGAATCATTAAAGTTAGAACAGACCTCTAAGATCATCTAGTCCAATTGTCCACGTGCCACCAATATTGCCCAGTAAATCATGTCCCTAAGTATGACATCTGCTCTTTCCTTCAACACCTCCAGGGGAGTAAAGCTTAATCTGTTCGGAAGATCTTCCTCAAAATTCAGTCAAGATGGATGCTTATTAGCATTGTTAGCAAGTTGCTGTATAATTTTCATCTCCTGCATTCTTTCAAAGTAAAGGCAAATTGCTACCAACTCAGATGGCATCTTTCACTTACTTTTTGCTGATGCATATAACTTCCTCAGGTATACGGAGATGAGTTCCTATTCCTCCATAATAAAACTTTCACATTTTCCTCTCAAAGGTAAGCATAATGACTGTCTGGGAAATGGAAATCTCATGATTTACAAAATAAGGTTCAAGAAAAGCAACAGATTTGGGTCTCCACTTCCCCATTCTGCCAGTGCTGGTCAGAACAGAGGCTACCTGCAAAGGGGCTCACAGGACTTGTTGACTCAGAAACAGGCTTCTGAATTTTCCTTACTTCATATTGCTTGTTTCACAACTGGACTGATAACTTCTATGAACCTGGCTGATGAGAGATGATTTTTTTCACATGAATCACTGAAATCTCTTCACCCGCTAACAGCTCTGGATGTCTGCTGACTTCAAGCTGAGTCAGTAACTAAGAACAAAACGTTCTGGTTCCCCTCCCATAGGACCCTTGCATTCCTCTTTCCTTTGTGTAATGTGCAGTTAGGCATAGAAGTAAGTACTTTTACAGTTAGTAGTACTGCACATCAATTGCCAATCAGAGCAGGTATATTTATTACTACATACAGTTGCTTTAAAAGGCAAATTACAGTTTGTGTAGTTCTCACTGACCTCAAGGCCACTGCTTGTTAAAAATGTAATGCATGTGTTTAATATGTGAAACAAGTTCAGTAGCATATAATTTGGATGATATGTAAATCTTGTTTTTATATGAGAACTAAAGTAATTCAAATGGTTCCTTTCACTGGAGCTTCTCATACACTATCTTGTCTATCCAGGAAAGCTAATCCTTAGGAGATTTACAGTGTTTAAGGTGGTTTCCAGGTTTTTATTGAACAGATTTGTGGAAAAAAAAAAAAAAAAAATAGTGGTCTCATTTGATCTTAAAAATATGCCTTAATTTTTATGTTAGCATCAAGACAGGATTCAATGGAAAATTAACCAGAGCTTTTGAGTCTAATACTCTATCCACGTAGGGAAAAATATTTTTGTCATTTGTGCAATGTAATCTGGAGTAGATTGGTATGCAATAAGATCTTTAGGATATGCCTATAGTTTCTTTTTTTCAGCTAGTCTGAAGCTCTCATGTCTGGATTAAGTAAGGGTAAGACTGGAATATAGATATGCTGTCACTTTAGCATCATTTATTTGAAACTATCTGCTGGACATGTTGGTAAATTAAAGAAAACAGAACTGCAGTGCCAAATGCCACATCTTAATCTGAGTGTCACTGGTCCTCACCATGTCCCTTCGGAAGTCTCCAGCTCCAGTTCTTCAGTTGTTTCAGTCCATGGCCTTTTCTCAAGAACAGCTGGGATTTATGTCACTTCCTTATGTGACCAAGTCATTAGGAATCATATGAATGTAATCTTTATTTATTTATTTATTTATTTTTTTCTCAGTTGGTCAGAAGTGAGACCTTCTCAAAATACTGAAGCTTGTTCTTTGAAACAAAAAGGTGGTGCAAGACGAATAGCAGAAGCCTTTGGTTCTACTCTGCCTTGTCTACCATAGAAATCAAATTCTGGGTCTCCAGTGGAGAAAAACTGTTGTATCAAAGAAAAAGATACAGTGGAACATACTAAAAACTCTTCCTACCAAAACTATTTTTTGTGAATTTAAAAAAAAATGTCATTTTTTCAGCTATTCTGTCTTTAAATACCATAAATTTCATGCAGCTGTAGTCGTAGCAATATTCAGAGCTCATCTTGTGCATTTTTCTGTTTGTCTCAGATAGTTTGAAAGCAAAGTGACTACAATTACTGCCATTTTACAGATGGAAGAGATGCAGCATGTAAGAAGCATGTGAGTAATGGCCTTTAATCCTGGATACCTGAAATTAAAATCAGCATGAAAAATGGCAGAATTATGTGTTCACAAGCCTCTAAGCTTTTCTTTTCTGCTTCTATCTACTAATACATCTTCCCTTCTACAATGCCATGCTCTTGGAAGGGAAGCAAAGGAGCTCAGTCTATGGGAGAAGCATAACCTTTCTCTGTCTTGGTGTGCCATGCCTTCTCTGTCTCTGAAGTGAATCAGAAGCTGGGGAGAGATGCTGAGCAGCCACCTAAAAATCATTTGCTTCTGCTGGTTATGCAGTATCTGGCAACTGCAATGGGTAGCTGGAAAGCTTTTGTTAATATCTCTTCTGCTTGTTTCCTGAGTATTTTTCCAAAGCAGCTTAGTTGTATGCAATAAACTCTCATTTCCTAATGCCGGTCACTGAAAGCGTATGCCAGGGGATCACTGTAAAGCCTTATTACTTTGTCCAGTCACATCATCTGGAATTTCTTGAGAAGGACTGATGCAAAAAAACCACAGAGAAGAATTGTGTTTTTCATAAGGCGTGTGAAATAGAACAAAATGTGAGAACAGGCTTCCCAACTTTTTGGACAACTCTTTGCTCTTTGATATTGAGTTTTCACAAGACCGCATTTAGTCTAGGCATTCTTACAAAGCTGAGGAACAGTCCACTTGTAACAAGGCCAGGTCAACCCGTCGTCTTGTTGCTATGAGTAATGTTAAAATTACTGGATGGATAAAAAGTGGCTCGATCCCTGGAGCTATGCACAACTGACTCTGAAGCTGATGTATTTTAACAGCTACTCTGCGCTGTGAAAGTGAGGTTAAAGTTGCAGAGGTACCTCCACGTGTACTCCTAATGTGCTTTCATTTGCTGTGCAGGTATGATTTTGACTGTGTCAGGCACTGAGTGACAGATCAGTGATGTGTCTTCTGCATCTGGCAGCACACACTTTGGGGAAGAACTGTAACACCACAGTTCTTTCCAGAAATGAGACGCAAGCAACAAAGTCATGACTGCACAGACACTTTGGAGTGTAAAATGCAATTACTTTTGCCCTTTTAAGATGGAGATCTCTTGCCTTCTCACTTCTCTTGAACTATCTATCTTTCTTCAAAGCCTGCAAAACTGAAAGCTTAAAACTTTGGGTAGACTTTTAGGAAAGGAAAAGAAAAAGAACTGACAAAGATGAAGTCTGTTTTCGGAGGAATTTAGAGATAACCCTGCTGGAAGGGCTCTTCTTTGTACTACAGTAATAGCTTTGTTTATAAAGAATGACTAGTGCAGTAGACATGGGGTCAGTGTTGAAGCTGGTGTTTCTTTTAGCTAATCTCCAGCTCTCTCACATGCCAAATTGACCTGTTTGGGATATGAAGCTCAATTATCTTTATGGGAGAATAAAGGACAGGACTGGGGAGGAATTTATCATCCTTTTAAAATACTCTATTTCCTGATAATGATGGCAGGGGCTAACACCAAATAGAGCAAATGCATTTTCCCATGATAAAGCCATTGGAATAGATTTCTTCCACAATTCTGAAATACAAATATCAAAATTAGAGTAGATTCTGAGTCAAAACTTCACTACATTTGAAGTGAAGGCAGAGGGGACTGACGAGTGGGTCAGGAATTTATGACTCATATCAGTAACTTCTGTTTTGTTAAAATAAATCAGTAACAGATACTGATAAGATCATAGTTGATTGTCAGTGTAACTTTTGCAATTCATATTTGGCAATTCTTCACCTGCTGTTTTGTTTTTTTTTTTAAGTTTGAATTTATCAAATACACCTTCTTTACTGAATGGATTCTCTTCACCTGAGCAGACTTTAGTGCTGAAAACGTTTGCCTTGTTGGAGATATTCTTCAGAATACCAGAACTTCAGAACTCTCAATGCATATGCAAAGGCTTTGTTTGCTGCTTGTGAAATGGCTTCTGAATTATACATGCTATTTTTCACCTCAGATTGTCTGGACCTTTCACCTCACAGTGTATGGACCTTAAAGAGACTTTTTAAGATCTCTGCCTGCATTTAAACACATTGTATGGTCTTGACTGGCTTGGATGTCCCTCTTGATTTTCTTATAGCTTCTGTGCTAAAAATCTTGTCAGATTTGTTAATACTCATTCCAAATGACCATAGCTGGGACCTGGTGAAGCTAAACTCTTTTTGTTACCACTATTTATGCTAATACAAATCAAACTCTGACATTGTTCCTTTAACATTTTCTTTCAGTACAGCTGAAAGACCCGAGGATTGAGCGCGAATGACCTCTTTGGGGTGGTAAGTGACTTTGCAAGCAGGGGTTTGGAAGTGCCTGGAAGGAGGAGAAGGCATCTGTGCCCTTTAAAAAAGCAAGACAAGAAAAGAAGGCTTTCAGACCCCTCTTCTGTTGCCTTGTTTAGTCATGGCTGGATTAGGATATTATAAACTCAAGGAATGGTGTATGTTGTGTTCTGAACTAGAAAGTTAGAAGCTCATGCAGTCACTGCTGGGCTTATGTTTCTAACAATATCAGAGTGACAGCAGATTATTTTTTTTAAGTCCATACCACTTCCCATGTTGTCCCTGCCCAGGAAGGTGGTGGAGGCACTGACCCAAGAGGTGTTCAAGAAATGTTTGGACGTTGTGTTGAGGGACATGGTTTAGTGAGAACTACTGGTGATCGGTGGATGGTTGCACTGGGTGATCCCATGAGTCTTTTCCAACATTGGTGATTCCATGATTTTATGATTACTGCTGTAGCATGCTGGTAGTGGTCTACCAGATAGATGGAAAGAAGAAAACTTTTATATCTGCATATATATAAAATAAAATAGAAAATTATACAGGAAACAAAACTAATAATGGGTTATAAAAAAGAAAAAAAAATAGGAACAATGAAGAACATAAAATATTAGCAGAATTTTGAAAATTAGGAGTTGCATGGAGATAAAGGTTTGGAAGACAAAAGAACTGTACTGCACAGTGCCATTTTTACACACTATATACAAGCTAGTGCTATCTTGTATCAAAACAGCACTGTGAGTTAGAACAAAGCTAACTGAGAAATCCTAGAAGGCACTGGGAGAGAAGAAGACATTCAGAATTTTTTTTCATCTCTAAGTGGGGTAGTATCAGGACAACCACTAGACTCAAACTAGTGCTCATATTTAGAAACAATCTAAGTTCATTACTGAGAAAATGTGAAGATAACAGTGATTAGCAGACTGGTAAATTGAGAGGATGAGGCAACTGATGGAGTGATCATGATCTCATGATAAGTAAGGACATTCAAATGTGTTTTTGAATGAAAGCCTATAATCTGGGAACAAAGAAAGCTGGACACAACTGCAGAACATGGGCTTCGGCTCTGGAGAGGTGCCTGAACTGATATTTCAGCAGTTGCCCTCTGCAGAAAGCTGCAACTAAGGCAAGTCTGGGTTGTACAGAAGAGCAGGACCAGGAAGATAGTTTCTCCCTTTGTAACAGCATTGCTGGGTGGTGGTATTCAACAACAGAAACTGTTTTTCGAAAGGAAGAATGAGAAATTGGAGACAAAACAGAAGGAAAGCATAAATATGATTTGAAGGTTGAAGAATATTTCCCACAGGTGAAAATAGAAAAGTGCTAAAAGAAGGTCTGAGGTGATTTAATTACAGCACATAACAAATGCAAAGAGGTACAGAAAAGGAAGGCAGCATGGTGAAGGCTTAGCAGCTGATCTTGGACAACTCTGAAGGAGGAATAATCCTTTAATGAGATAGATAAAACTTCAGGACAAGATAGGAAGTGGTTTAGCTATCCTTTAGAGCCTTCAGATCAAACCCTAATGCCGATTTCTGTTGGCAGGTTCAAGAAAGAAATGTAATCACATGTGATATAATAGGAGGAACATCAAATAACCTAGTGCTCCCATTAGGAGCTAATGGAGTGGTATATCTAAACTCCCCCATGATTGCACAGTTCATGAGAACTTTTCAAATTTTAGAAAGTTGGTCCTGTGTATTATTTTCATGTTCACTGGAGTTGTAACATACATTGCAAACCATATCTTTTGTGATCCTAATTATGAAAGCAATCAGGAGAAACAACTTTAATGCAGTGTCTGAAAAATATTAAAAATTACTATGTGCTGAGTTATTTCATATGAATATAGTAAGCACCACAATGATTGCTGGAATAAGTGGTAATTAATAATCCTTGTGACATTGTAAGAGGACAGAAGAGATAATGAAAAAAATTATACTTCTTTGGATAGCAACACCAAGACAGTCACAATGAGGTCTATTAAGAGAACATCTTCTGGAACACAGCAGCTCTGGGACTTGACTCTGTGGCCACTGTAATGGTAAATGTATCCTGCTGTCTCATTACTATTTTGGAAAATGCTACAAAAATTCCATGCTTTTGGGGTGATTTGTTGTGCATATACTAAGAACAGCTGAAGAAACAGATTAATAATTACAAACATGAACGAAAGCCTGAAAATTCCCCTATTTCCTTCACTTTAAACATGTTACCATGTACTGAGGAATTAAGAGGAACTCTCATATGTGTTAAATAAAACCTATGCAAGTGCTGAATCTTGTTTGTATATGTGTATATGTGGCTATATATGATGCAGCACACATGCATAGTGATCTGCAAGCATAGATATAAATGTTCCGGCCAAAGTGGAAAAGATATTAAAACAAAGTCACATATGAAAGTGCAAAAAAACAAAACAAACAAAAATGATCTTTTTCAGCATGGCACTGTGTTTATGAAACACAGAAATACATTCCTTGTATGTGGAATTTACCTGCTGTTATGGGTGGACATAAGATCTGTAAATGGCAAGGTGTGGTTTCCTTGCATTGTTTGGGGGAGTGTCTGTTTGGACAGATTTAAAACAGTGATCCAAAAGCTTGACAGTAGCAGCATGAAAACATGTTTTTCAAAAATGATAGGCATGTTTCTGCTATTCTGGTACATTCCATGCTTCTGATTCAAAGGAATACAAACAAACAAACCTTCATTAAGCTATTACATACCTAGGCAAAGTAAAATGCTTTCTAATTTACTTGTGTGCTAAGACAATGGAATTTGTAAGAGGCTTTTTGAAGAAAAGGTCAATGCAGTAAATTTAGGGTTTATATATATTTGAGTGTTGCATCTTGTAAAGTGTGTTTCTATATGCCACAGGCAGGTAACTCTTGATAATGTTCTATGGCAGAAATATGGTTTCTCTATGAACGTCTTTTTTCTTTTTTTCCCGGTTAGTATTCTGTACTAGAAATATCAAGTTCCAATTTAGCTTTATTGACTTTGGCAGTATTTGCAGAAAATCTATCAGATAACATCATTTGTATCCAAAACTTTTGAAGAACTTTTCTTATTGTCCTCAAGGACTTACAAAAGGGAATGTGGAGCTGGGCTCCCACTCAATGAAGCCACACGTGTTTTGCATGTGTTTGAGGTATGGCTAAGTCAGAGGCCTAGAGGAGGTAAGGAAGGAAGCAGGTTATGTCTGGATGCACTACATAGCACTTGAAACAGACAAGCAGACAGCTTCCATCTTGTCAGTTTGGTTATAACCACCACCGTGACCATCCAGCCACAAGCTTCATATACCTTCTACAGACTTAGAATCCAAAAGAAGTTTTGCTGTAATTGTGCCAGTGGTATTCATCTCTGTGGTTTTAACGTGCTTCATGAATGTTGTTTGTAGGTAGTGGTATCAGTCTGAACCTGGGAAAGATTCACCCCCTTATTAAAAACAAAAACCAAAATAAACAAACAAAAAAACCCCCAAGAATACAGGATCTTTATCTATGGTTCAGAGAGTTTACAACTGAGTCCATGCCAATTCTCCTGTTGTGTGTGATGAAGAGAATTGTGTAGATGCAGTGCTGCTGTCTGGAAACCAAAAAATCTCTGAAGTTATGAAACACACACAACATACATTCACTTCAGGTAGTATTAGGCATTTAGATCCTTTTGCAGACAGAATACAGAGACGATAGGATGTTGTTTGTAAGGACACTCAGGCATTGGTCTTCTCAGTGTTGCAATGCCTAATTGACTATTATTTTGTTTCAAAAATGGCTTGAGATTCTAAAGCTGAGGTTTAAAAGGAACTGAGGCACTTAAGTCAGAGTAATGTCTAATTCCTTCTTATTTATCCAATATCTTTCTAATGCAAGATGCAAAAATTGTCACAGACGTAAAGACTGAAATATAAATTTTCTTATTCATGGATCTGTTTTGAAGAATACCAATTCCATCTTCTTCCTTTGCTGTTTTTACATCAAAGAGTCTTGTATTTTTTGCTTTATGATTACAGAGCTTCTGTAGGGAGTTGGAAATGTTTTTGTCTTGGTGACAGAAGACATGGGGTTGCATCCTGTTAAGTGTAAAAAAACCCTAACTCTTGAAAATTGAGTCAAATAATGTATGATTGAGCAGACTCATGTCTCTAGAGACAACTCTAGATAGTTAAAGATAAATAAGTCAATCTCTACAAGCTTCAGGCTTACTTGATTTGCCTTGCATACATATACTTGGTAAGTGGGTGAAATGGTACCCAGTCGAAGAATAATGAATTCACCCTGAACCTCCAAAGTTTTAGGTGAATGCTGTTAAAATTTGACAATTTTCTCTTGATTTAAAACAGATTTTAATGTGCTTGAATATACTGAAAAGAATTCATGGGCCCGTGTAAAGTTTCTAATGGTCAATAGTATTTGAAATATTAAAATGTAACTCCTCTCTTTTCATAAAATTTCCTAAGATTTGTTGAATAATGTTGCAAGCTGGAAAATCTACATACGTGTTTCTGAATTCACTGTGTAATTAGTTAATTGAAACACCGTAGCGCATAACATTTAATCCAATTTCCTCATCTCTTAAGATTTAATATCAAGATCTCTCTGATGGAAATGATTATTAAAACAATCCATCTTCACGCTGACCTGAAAAATCGTTGAGAGAACACTGTGATAGGTTTGTTCGGTTCTTATTTCTTCCTGATCATGTAGAATTTCTACAGCACCACTGCAAGAGTTTTGACATTTGAATGATTTCAGGTAACTGCAAAGATAAGAAAACTTCTCAAAATATAGGTTGTACTAATTCTATATTAAAACTGACAATTCAATTTCAAGCCCACTTACAACTGGTTAAATCACTGGTTACTGTCTTTGCTTTTTTCAAATCAAAGCTTCTTCAGACATATTTACTTATTAATTTTTTACAATAGTGCAGAGAATATATAGAGAAACTTCAGATACCTTTCTGGTTGAGATCCATACATGATGTATAGATCAGATCCTGCTCCAAAGGGCTTTCAGTGACAGTAAATTAGACAAACTTGCCCAAGACTGCATAGAAACAGTCCTTCCTCCTGTTCCATTGTTACTGCAACAGGTCACACAGTATCCATTGCCTTGCAACTTACCATAGGAAAAAAAAAAAAAAAAGAAAATGAAAAAAACCTTCCTCCTTTACTCATTTCTATGAAGAGTCTCTCAAGAAAATGAAACAATTAGTCCTGTTTCATAGCTGAAGACTGGACTAGATCAAATCACAGGGATCTGTTTAAGTTGTATACTGTCTGGCTTGTCACATCTTCTCTTTCCTTTGAGACAGACATACTTTGAAAGAGTATGTTAGGTTCCAGAATATATGTCTTGCCTTGGCATCCTGTATTTGTGTGTGTATGTATGTGTGGGAAGGGAGATTACTTTATTAATTGTAAGAAAATATCCTTCAGGGATTATGCTAAATTATATTCTTTTTGCAACCCCTGAGAGAGGGCATTTCAGATGATATCCAGTGACGTGCCTAACATGGCTTTTGCTGGTCCAATGTATCATCTATTCC